ACATCTTCCACATCCAGGGGTTGACTGGAACCCCCCCAACGTGCATTCACCTTGTCGTGGTGGGGGGGCTCAGTAGTGCCTGGCAACCCAACCGGGCGCGAAGCCAAGAAACGCACAGGGAGGTGGCCCACTTCGGTGGGCGGTGGGATGTGGTCCTCTTCGGAGGGCAGTGTACCATGCGGGTTGCTACTTGGTACTTCTCTGATAGCAGAGTGGACTGTGGAGCAACCCCGTGGTTGTTGTGGTTTGCTTCGGCAGACCTGCCGTCGGGGCTTCGTAGTTGAATGCGTAAGCGATCCTGCGACGCCCCATTAAGACGGGGGAAGGTTTTGTTGGGTTTTAGTGGATAGTACTGGCTTTGCCGGTGAGTCCCACACCTCGTGCGTAAATGCATTTTCCAACGTTAAAAAAAAAAAAGAAAGGGGTTGACTGGAAGATCTCTTTCAAAGATAAGTCCACCTTAGTCAACTAAGTTTATTGTTTTTTTCTGTATTACATTTAAAGTGCAATATATAATATTACAAAAAATATATAAGAAAACAGAGGAGATCATTATAAAAAACTGATTTTATCTTCCGACTTGCCTTCACGAAGTGGCTCTGAAATCAAATCAAAATATAATTAATTCATAAAAGATTTTCTAGCACTTTTGGATCATCACTTTTTACATTATTAAAATTTAAATTTAAATGTCAGTATGTTCGTCCGTGAGCAATCTACCACCGGCGACACATAGCACTATAAAAATACATCAATTAATTATTATATATACAGAACCGGTTGACCAAGACTTAGTCACGGTCTACCATTTTAATGCAATAGTACGAGTTGTTAAACAAATGTTGTTTTAAATAAATTTCTAAGTAAATTTTTGTTAAAAATATCCGCAACTTTGCTAATTTATGTCAACTAGTCGACACATAAACTACTATTTAGTTACACGTATTCGTAAGAGTTTATTTATTTACGTGTAACACGCGTCTTCAAAGAAATCTGCGAGACAATATAACAGGATTGTATACATAGTACCTATTACATCTCTTCATCTCAGATCGTAACTCCAGTTCCTCGCTAACAGTCTAGATACTAGATTAGGAGAAAACGGACAAATATATAATTCGTTGGCTCACAATTACAAGGTTCTATGTTACAATCAATAAATCAGCCTATCGCCGTCCACTGCTAAACAAAGGCCTTTTTTTTTAACGTTGGGAAATGCATATACGCACGAGGTGTGGGACTCACCGGCGAAGCCAGTACTACCCACTAAATCCCAACAAAACCTTCCCCCGTCTTAATGGGGCGTCGCAGGATCGCTTACGCATTCAACTACGACGCCCCGACGGCAGGTCTGCCGAAGCAGACCACCACAACCATGGGGTTGCTCCAAGGTCCACTCTGCTATCAGAGAAGTACCAGGAGCAACCCGCATGGTACACCGCCCTCCGAAGAGGGCCACCTCCCACCGCCCACCGAAGTGGGCCACCTCCCTGTGCGTTTCTTGGCTTCGCGCCCGGTTGGGTTGCCGGGCACTACTGAGCCCCCCACCACGACAAGGTGAACGCACGTTGGGGGGAAACAAAGGCCTCCCCCAATGAGCGCCAACCATCCCGGTCCTGGCTTGTATTTACAATTTTTATACTTATTTAGTTATTAATGCTACAAAGTTCTATGTGTCATTAACTACAGTTTTGCAAAAACAAACCACTAGATAGCGGCACTTTAACTACAAAATATTCAATTTTACATAATTCTATGTTGTTTTCTTTACGATAACAAAATAACGAAGTTCTATGTAAAAATTACTAAACTTCATTAAAATTAACATAGAACCTTGTAATAGTAAGCCAACGAATTATGTCACTATTATTTTCTAATTTTTAGGAATGGCATGTTGCTATATCTAATATTAGCGAACAATTCGTCCTTAAGTACGTTTTAACGATTAGTACGAAATATATAGAATATATAATATATATTCTATCTATTTCGTAATATCATACATGTAATAACATACATATTATGTACTATATAAATAGATAAAAACTTCGACTTTTAAAAAAAAATTACTTAATGTAAATCGGTTCAGCGGATTTTTAGTTTATCCATTACAAACAAACATACAAAAAAAAATTTTTCTCTTTATAATAGTAGTATAGATAGTTATAGAATTAGATTGACAAGCATTTAATTAGTATACTTGAATCTGCTTCGTATTCGCTATTATTAGTAGTAGCATTTTTAAATTTGACTTTAATGCTACAATGTTTTAAAAAATATGGTTTTGAGTTTATATTCTGAAAGATGAATAGATATAGTTATGTTATACAAAAGCTTTTTTATTATACCTACCTAATTTATTACAACAAATCTTACACAAAAAAAATTGTCCCGTTCATGGCACCTTCCCATAGTACCGCGCAGTGAGACGCTGAACTGGCATTAAATATTAGAGCATTTTTTTTAATAAATGCCAATCTAATATATTCTGTCAATCCTCATTCGTGTTTTAGTGCTTCGACAGAGCGCGCCTCTTCAAAGTCCGTCTTATTATTTATAGAATAACTAGTGTTACGTTTTAACGTTTAGTATAGATTTCTTAGAGATGAGTTATTTTCTCACAGTAAAACGTATCCTATATGTTGACCCGGATAACCAGCTATCATCATACCAAATTTCATCAAAATCTGTCCACTGGTTTTCTCGTGATGCGTTCCCAGACATAAGACAAAAATTCTAAGAACTATAGATTCGGCCCCTGAATTGATAATAATAAAACTATTTCAATAAAATTTTCAAGATCATGATGATGATTATTTACAGATTCGACTTAGAATTTTATTTTATGTCTATACTGATATTATAAAGAGGTAAATAAAAAGGATACTTTTTATCCCGGAAATCATCCCTTAAGAGGGTGAAAATGGGGATGAAAATTTGTATAGGGAATCAAACTAGGGACGAACCCGAGTGAATCGAGGGTAAAAGAGATTTAATGATGGTTACTCATGAAATTTTAAAAATTAATTAAAAAATTGCAAGGCAAGAAATATAAACGTCATAATAACGCAAGCGTACTTGGACTCTGGCTATACATATCTTTATATCTTTAATACCTCTTGGTATAAAACTGCACCGACACAAGATCGAAGTGGTGACCACGAATGTGTCTCTCAACAATTAAAGTCTCCTAGACAAGAATATCCCCTTTGAACAACACCTTTTAAGGTCTGAATTTGCATTTAGTACTGCAAAATGGTTGTTGGTGCCAAAAACTAAATTCTTAGGTTTTACATATTGTACATATTATACATGGCAGTTTTTGTATTTTTTCTCAAAAATGAGATATTTTCCCACGGTAAAAAGTACCTATCCTATATGTTGACCCGGAAAACCAGCTATCACCATACCAAAATTCATCAAAATCCCTCCAGTGGTTTTTCTGTGATGCGGTAACAGACAGACGGGCAAACATAAATTCTAAAAACTATAGATTCGGCCTCATTATTGATAATAATGTCTATTTCAATAAGATTTTCCAAAAAATATCTAATGTACAGATTCGGCTCAGTTACAATTTTATTATAATATGTATAGATAAAACTTGTCGCGAGATTTACCTATTTTATAAAAACATATCATTTTTTACGTTTTATTTCTTGTTTATCTACACAGGTAAATCTCGCGTTTTTTTACAATTATTTTATTTTTTTAGTTATTTGTATTCTTCTCAGAAAACCCATTCATTTGATATCCATACCGTGGGGGTGCATAAAAAAAACAAAGTCCGCCATCTTTGGGAGACCGCCATATTGGATTTACAATAATATCACTTTCTTATTGTGTTTCGATCAACAAGTCCTTTCATTTGATGCCCATATCATAAGGGACACTATGGAAATGATAAATCGCCATTCTGTAACTTCCGCCATATTAAATTTAAAATGGCGGCATTTAGGTAATCGTGCAGTCACGTGAACCAAACATGGGTGCCAAATTTCAGCTCAATCGAACACTGGGAAGAGGGCCAAATTTAACTTGTAAGATTTGATTACAGACAGACACCGGGACAAGTGAAACTATATAAAAACTTGTAAAAAATATATATTTATAATAGATACATATAAAACAATATTGTCTTCTCTTATTAAACGACTTTAATGTATGCAAATATTTTTATACAGAAAAATTGTTGGTTAGAGGTACTTCAAAATGAACAAGTATTATATTAATAAATTAACCTTTTTGCAAAGAAAATGTACAATTTTGTAAATTTCGTATGTTAGAAGTGCAGGGGGGGCCCCGCGGGCGCGGGGCGCGGGCGTCAGTCGTGCGTTAGTATTGAGGCGAGGAAGTTGTGTCGCTCGGCTATCGACTGACTGTGTTAGTGTAAATATTCGCGTACTAAATTGTGTTAGTGTGCGTTCAAGGATTATTTTGCTCCAGAGGAGTTAAATTTGATTGTATATTTTATTAATGGTGTCTTGAGGATGATTTTAGAACGAAGTTCCTTATCGCACGTTATACTCACGGACGTCACATTTACGGAGAGCTAGACGGAAAAAAGTGTAGTATTTCGGTCGTCACGACACTTTTACTTTAGTACATGTGTTTGCTAGTCTATGCGTAGGTCTGTATTACTTATAGCCGCGTACTGTAGGGCGGGGCGCGGGGCGTGCGGCGCGGGGCGCGGGCTGCGCGTCAACTATATTGTATACGTGTATGGGTGCGTACGTTACAAGTTGCAAGCCGCCTGCGTTATAACACTCGTTATCTCTCTTGACTATTCTCAAACTATTTGTTATTGTTATATTCAAATATTTGTTGCTATTATTATAATAATGAATTATGAGGTACAAGTTAAAAAATCCAAAAAAAAAAGAAAAACCAATGCGCAAAAATGTAAAGATTATCGTGAGAGGAAAAAATTAGGGTATTTAAAAGCATCTAAAAATAGTGCTAAAAGTTCTGACCAATTTCGTAAGAAAGACGAATTAATAATGAAACCTAAAAGCGACGTCCAGAGATCTAAAGAGTATCGTGAGAGACAAAAATTAAAGAGGCAAATTGAATTACAGCAGAAAAATATAGATCGTCTTCAAACGTAAGATGCCACATAACAAAATTATTTGCATTTACCGCTTATTATTTTATTTAATAAGTACATCATTGTGATGTATATGTATATATATATTTTCTTTTAATAGCACATCGACTAAAACTCGTGCTGAATATATGAAAGAATATCGACGGCGAGTGAAATTAAAAAATCAAAATGTTCAATTAAATATCTTGCTAGCAAAACATCATTCAGATGCGTAAGTAATTTATTTATCTTTCTGGTGTATATTCTTTGTGACAATAACATAATATAATATGTGTTTGAGAGTCTGAATGTGGCAGACTATTGTTAATTCTTATAAGCCCAAATAATAAGTTGTTAAATTGATAATAATAAAAATAAATGCCGACTGCGGCGAAGCCAAAAGGAGGGTTATGTATTTGACCTGTACGTATCTAGTATCTACAAAAGTATTTATGTATGTATGTATGTAGATAACCTTAACCGATTTTCATGCTACATTGAGACGTTAGTCGCGTTTAATTATTTACACCATATATTTCTGTTATAATATATAGGCTATCATTAAAAATCTAAATGTTACATCTTAGGGGCCAAATTTGGGCGTCTTGACAAAATAAAACTTTTTTTTTAAATATAATAATTTATTACAATTTTTACTATTCTTTCATTTATTTTTTGAACGAAGTTCCTTATCGCGCGTTACACGCTCTGAGCGGATGGGAAGAGACCGAAAAAAGTGTAATAAGACTTTTTTCCGACACTTTTTTGCCGCGCGCCGAAAGACTCGACGGCTCTTTGGCTTTCTTCGGTTATACTCGCCTAGTAGCTTCTTCCCTCGCCGCGCGCCTTCTGCACAACATTTAAAGCGGCGGCTTTAAGTGTATGTATAGTTTGACTCGACTCGTCTCTCCCCGCACCGCGCGCCATTGCTGACTGTATAACTGGCAGTTGGCGCGTCGACGCTCAGACCTTTTTCATATTTTCATATTCATATTTTTCTTTAATACAATGGAGTGTGAAAATGGTTTAGTAAAAGTTGAAGGTAGTGATGATAAAATATAGTAAGTTATTAGTGTAAATATTTATTATAAACTTAAGTAATGCTATTTGTACAACATTGCAACATGTTGCTTGCTCCAAGTGATCAATAGTTGTGAAAAGAAGAAGTATCGTTTTTTATTCATTTTTTCAAAACTTAACATCTATATATAGAATTTAGGTGATGCTGACTATTTATTTTGTTTAATTCATTAATTTAAATAGCTAGCGGCTCTAATTATTTTTTGTTTTTTTTTACGTATTGTGCATGTGCAGTCTGCATGCAGTAGGCTATGTATTGTGATAGAGAAAAAGACAGAGAGAAACGGCGTCATGCGTACCCTATAATGTGTGCTCTGTGCTGGAGTGAACAAGCGAGAAAGAGAAAGAAATAGATTTCAAATGATCATTTTAAGTAGATTATATATACAAGCAACGAGTTGCAGTACCTACAGTAATAGCTGCATGTGTGCGTGCGTGCGTGTGTGCGTTGTTTGTGTGTGTGTGTATGTATGTATGTGTATATATACATAATTTTTTTATTCCAATAGCAAATCAACTCAAGGATCAACATCGGTGGCAATATCCAAAAGAAAAAGCAATGCACAAAAATGTAAAGAATATCGTGAGAAAAAAAAATTAAACACACCGAAACAAAAAAGAACAGCTAAAAGCAGGGCACAAATAAACAAAAACTATTATGAGAAAAACAAAATTTCAAAGTAAGATACCAATTAACAAATATTCATATTTAACCTTAGCAACATAATTATTTATTATATCATTCATTATGATATATATACTTATTTTCTTTTAATAGCACATGGAATAAAACTCGTGCTGAATATATGAAAGAGTATCGACGGAGAGTGAAATTAAAAAATCAAAATGTTCAGTTAAATGTCTTGCTAGCAAAACATCATTCAGATGCGTAAGTAATTTATTTAGGTACATTTCTAGCGTATATTCTTTGTGAAATTTATATAATACTAGCGGCTCACCCTCGCTTCGCTCGGGTTCGTCGCTAGGTAAGTTTTAAATAGATATAAATAGTTAATAGCCAGCATTAGCCATATACATTTTATTTTTTTTTCATTAATTTTTCAATTTTTTTTCATAAGAACCTTCTCCTAACAATAACAAACGCAACAAAAATAATAGTTAAATCGGTCCAGCCGTTCACGCGTGATGGCGGGACCAAGGGAATTTAGGGATTCATTTATATATATATATATATATATATATATATATATATATATATATATATATATATATATATATATATATATATATATATATGTTTGAGAGTCTGAATGAGGCAGACATTTGTTAATTCTTATAAGTCTAAATAATAAGTAATTCAATTGACAATATAATATAAAAAAAACCGGCCAAGTGCGAGCAAAATATCACGTTTGTTGTATGAGAGGCCCGTAAATATTCATTTTATTCTGTTTTTTAGTAGATATTTGTTGTTAAAGCGGCAACAGAAATACATCACCTATGAAAATTTCAATTATCACGGTTCATGAGATACAGCCTGCTGACAGACGGAAAGTGGAGTCTTAGTGATAGGGTCCCGTTTTACCCTTTGTGTACGGAACCCTAAAAACACATTTGCAAAATGTTTATTATCCGACTACGACGACACTCAAAGGAGGGTTATGTAGTTGAACTGTACGTCTAAACAAATATATGTATGTATGTACATATATCCGAGACTATGTTCCCTCATAATTACTAAACGGTTTAACCGATTTTTGATGATACATTTAGAAGTTAGTTGCGTTAGATTCGAGTTATAGGGTATATGGATATTATTGAAAATCAAACATATTTTTTTCAAAAAAAAAATATTTATTACAATTTTTTGCCATTATTTCATTTATTTTTTAATGCAGTTACTTTCAAACGTTTATTTCAATGTGCCTGATTATATAATACACAATACATAGCATAAGGAACTTCGTTCTTACCGGTTGTCCCACGACACCCTTTCTTTTAAGCTATTGCATAGCTTCTATCGCGGGCCTTGAGCGTGGGGACCGAATCCAGAATTTCCATAACGAAAAAAACCTGACACCCCCCACTCCGACCGGCACAGCGGTGATACTTCCATCGATCGATAAATACCTTTTACGAAAAAGAACTTTTAATGACTTTTCGAAATTACCGCTTGTCTCTTTAGTTCAGCAACCCGCCTTTAGGTGGCATTGGTTGTAATGGAAAACTACCGTAATCAGCTGTTTGTGAGAAAGTATATAGGTGTATAGGTATTTATCATCTATGTACAACAGTGAATATCTGTACTCGTATAATTTGTGTACAAAGTGTTTTAAATATGAATAAACAAAGTGCATTTATTAATGAAGAAAGTCACGAAAAAATAGTGAAAGAAAATGAGTTAGTACTCTATATACATTCATTTTATTATTAGTACCTGGGCGACCGAGCCTTGCTCGGAGTGTTTGGCCAAAAAAAACATAAAAAAAAAACAAACTAAGAATTTGAATAACTACAAAAAACAACAAAATTAAAAACTTTGTGTCCGACCGGGATACGAACCCAGACACCTGTGGTTGTCAAATTTGCGCATTGGCCGCTTGACCATGATGCTTATTTATATCTGAGCATGCGAAATTATCGAACATAATATTTTGCATGGAATTATTAATTATTAATTTATTGAAATAATGCAAAAAGAATCATAATAATAATAAAGCTCTATTTATTTATTCATTTATTTATTATAAAGGCTTACTAAATAATTTACATAAAAACATTTATTTAACATTATAATTTTACCTATTTGTATATAAATTTAATTTAAAAGTATGCACAGCTTTTTATAAAAGTATTCCATTAAAATTTTATTTGGTTAAGAGTATATAAGGAGCCATTTTAGTTGTACAATAAACAAAAGAAGAAAAAAAACTAATCTAAATATTTAAATACACTTTTTTTTTAAATAAATTTAAACTATCAGAAAAAATGTCTATATCACATTGCTGAAATATAAAATTATATAATTTAGTGACTATTTATTAACTTATAATTTTTTAACTAATAATTTTGTAATCTGGAATCAAATTATTTTAAAAATCTTTAATATTATTTGAAATTATATTGTATATATATAAATTATCATTAACAAATAAATAAACAATGACAGTAAATTAAATAATTCAATTGAGTAAATACTAAATTTACATTTCACAATAATAAATATAAATAAAATTTCTTTTCATACATTAATTCTGACAATAATTATAAATTAGGTATTTAATTTCATATTTAAATGTATTTATTTAGTAAATGTCTTTTTCATGTATAGACCCCTCTCGGTTAACTCCAAAGTAGTCCTGCATAGAGCTCTCCGTTGGAGATTATGCTTGTATGATTGCAAAGGGTTTCTTTTCTAATTTTGTTTCCAATATATAATTTGTTTCTGATATGCCTATCAAGTTTATAATTTTATCTTTGTGTTCTTTTGATTTGTTGTAGGAAATACTGCTTTTAATTCTAGAAGTTTTTCTGGTGAAGATATGTATACCTTTGTTCATTGTATGTCAGTTTTTCTTTGGAGGGTTATGGTCCAACTCCCCCACAGTGACCGGCCGTACTGGGGGATAAACATGAGGAGGTTCCTACTGTGTTTAATAAACTGTATCTTGCAGTGTTGATTTTAGTTGTTCCTGGTTATCATTTGTGTGGTTGAAAGTTAATTTTGGTTTTTGTAATATAAAGGCTTTAATATTAGCAGGTTTGGTTTTCTTTGTATGTTGTTTATTTGTTAGTTTTTGTTTATAATTGAGGTAAGGCGTTTCTGGAGATACAGGCAGACTTCTTTTATTTGAGTATTGGCGAGAAGTATTCTTATTATTATCCAAAATATGTCAGATAAAGATAGTTTGTCATATTTAAAGAAAGCTGTTTTGCCTAGGTCTTTTTCTTTATCTTCAGTTGGGCTTGTAACTCCTTGCGTTTGTTTAAGACTATTTTTTCCTCTAGTTCATGATAGGATTTTTCACCTTCTTAACATAACCAAGTTCTTGCGCCTAATATGTCTTTCTAAATTATTTATTGAACTTCAATTTTTTTATTTCTAAGTGTTTAAATCATTATTGTTGATTGTATTTTTAATGGCTTCTTTCATTTCTAACATTTCTGTTTTCTGCTGTCTTATTTCTTGTTGCATGTTTATTAGCAACTTTTTTATGTCCTCTATCTTATGTGTGAAGTTGGAAGTAGAAAAGCTGATTGAAAAAGAGCACCAATTACACCTAGTTGAATTGCAATTTTATACCGACTATTAGTTTTTGAGGTTATAAATTTATGTTTTAATATTTGACGCTTTCACTTCACAAATTATTTTGTTTTATTGTCATCACACACAGAAAAGATGGTTTTGCACTGATAGTATCTTTAAGTTATGTTTGTCACTTTTGTATTTGTTTGGTAGGTGAATTTTTAAAAGCTCATTTGTTCTTCAACAGATCAAGACTTGGTGATGTTTACATATTGCCCATACGTTTTATTGATTTATTTGTAAAAATGTATTCCATTTTTCTTAGATTATTTCCACTTAAATATTTTTAAACTTGATGTAAATACGGACACGATGTTGACAGTTGCACAGTGGCGCCTCCCACCCACCAGAAGTGACAATGCAAAAATTGTAAAAATGCAAAAGAAAATCGCATGAAAATTCGAAAACTCGCGTTTTCCCAGAAATAAGACTAATCTAGATCGATTTATCGCCCCCGAAACCTCCTACGTGCTAAATTTCATGAAAATCGTTGGAGCCGTTTCCGAGATTCAGATTATATATTGATATATATACAAGAATAGCTCGTTTAAATTTATAAGATTATCACAAATGTAGTATTATTTTTTGTTTTCTTAATTTATATATAATACTGCTATAAGGATAACCAAAATTTTTTTGATATTAAAATAAGCGATATTAAAAGTAGCCCTCTTTTATATATATATACACACACACACACACATATATAGTTTAAATTCTCAATTTAGATTCTCAATATGTATGTATATATTTATATGTGTAAATTCATTCTTCATTATGTATATAACAGAAACCATTAAACCAAGCACGTGTACTATTTAGTACCTTTGTTTTTTTTTATTTTTTTTTATATATAGGTAATACACATTAATGTCGCGCAGAGAAAGTATATATGATATTATATCTATATAAATGTACATTGTGCGAAATTCGATGATCAAACTATATGATGATGATATATTTTTGTTCAAATTTTTTGAATGAATAATTATTTTGGTGTGTAATTACACTATTAATACCTAATTAACTGCCTCGGTGGTGTAGTGGCTAGCATGTACGGCTGCACACCCGGAGGTCCTGGGTTCGAGTACCAGGTCGGGCCAAGTTTAATTATTGAGTCTTCCTGTATAGTAAGTCTCAGTAACAACCCGGAATTGGGAAGTTGGCGGTGTTTTACCCCCGTGCCTCGGAGAGCACGTAAAGCCGTCGGTCCTGCGTCTTAACTCTCACCGGTCGTGTCGAGTGGTCGTCCCACCGGAGTATGAGAGTGATAGGCATAAAGAGTGCACTTGTGTCTGCGCGTACACTTGAGCACTATAATATCTCGTGCGCAGTTGGCTAGTCTCAATGAGATTGGCCGCCGTGGCCGGAATCGGCTAGGAGAACATCATCATCAATACCTAATTATTTATACCTAGATATTTTCTTCTTTTTTTTTATAGAGAAGAAAAGCATAAAGAACTAAAAAAAGAGCTAAAAAGAAAAAGACATTGTGAACGTCAAAGGGCATATTATCACCGTCAGAAAAAATTGAAGAAAAATGAAGGAAAAAAAAAAGTACCAAAAACAAATGCTGAACGTCAAAGGGAATTTCGTCAACGTAAAGCAGAAAAATCCTACGTGGTTAGGTAATTTGATTTAATAATATTTAAAAACCAATTGTAATATATGCCTCAATATTAAGCTATTGCATAGCTTCTTTCGCAGGCCTTGAGCGTGGGGACCGAATCCAGAAATTCCGTAACGAAAAAAACCTAACACCCCCCACTCCGACCGGCACAGCGGTGATACTTCATCTATCGATAAATACCAGAACTTTTAATGACTTTTTGAAATATCACGAGCTTGTCTCTTTAGTTCAGCAACCCGCATTTAGGTGGCATTTGTTGTATTGGAAAACTATCGTAATCAGCTGTTTGTGAGAAAGTATATAGGTGTATAGGTATTTATCATCTATGTACAACAGTGAATATCTGTACTCGTATAATTTGTGTACAAAGTGTTTTAAATATGAATAAACAAAGTGCATTTATTAATGAAGAAAGTCAAGGAAAAAAATACTGCATTAATAAAATAAATATATAATTATAATTCCATAAGTTGATAAAAAATGCTATGCAATAGCTTTACCGCGGCAGTCTCCGAGTGCCACATTAAATTTTTTTTTCTATTACTTTTTATATTATTAGTGCATTTTGTTTATATTGTGTTAATATAAAATATTTTAAATAAATGAAAATGCCAAGGCCCACTAAAGCAAGAAGAATTTCAATTATAAAAGCTAAGAAAATGCATAAGATCATGTACGTACTCACTTGTCTTAATATTAATATTTAATATTTTTAATTTAGTTATTACTTCAGTGGACTTCATTTATTACGACCGTGGTTGTTAAGGTAGTGAAATACACCTACGTCCCTCGAATTTAAAAATTCTTTATTACTAAACTAGCCCTGTCCTGGTGTCATCCGCGTTTTGATTTGATTATAATTTATAAATATCCGTTTTACTTTAATGTATAAAAGTTTGCCTGATTTGTTGACATTTATGATTGCTACTCCGCTCCTTTGGATAGTAGCCTGATGATATATAACTTATAGCCTTCCTCAATAAACGGACTATGTAATGCAAAAAGAATTTTTCAAACGGGATAAGTAGTTTCTGAGTTCAGCGTGTTCAAACAAACAAACAAACTCTGCCTCATTATAATATTAGTATAAATTCCTTTAACTATAGCGACTTCAGATTAAACCGATTCCGAGTATAGTGATTGTTTTACTGAGTTACTTATAACCAATTCTTATAGGTTAGGTTTTACAAAGCGCTCTCTTATGTTTTGTTTACATCCGCAGATGGTCATCGTCATTATAACCAAAATCCACTGTAATAGCTTTTATAATCGTCTAATATACGATTGTTTATTGATTATTTCATGATTGATATTAAGTAATGACGAAATTCTTTCAGGAAATCTAGAAATAAGCACAATCGAAAGCCAATAAATGTATAAATATAATTAATAAATATTCATACCGAGCACAGAACCATTAATTGTGAGTGGCCCGACACACGCTTGGCCGGATTTGTGTAAGTACCTATATAGTAGGGTGTGATAAAAAAATTTTTTTCTTTTTTTTCTAGTTACCATGAAAATATGGTTAAAGATGAAAAAAAAATCTGGTAAAGTTTGAGCTATTAATATTAAGAGGTGACTGATCGTGAATTTTGATTTTGCATATAAATAACACGGGAAATTTCTTTTTTATTTGGTTTTTTTTTTGGCACATCCTACTATATAGCCTATGCATTGTGCATTTTATTTATTAGATTCTAAATGAAAAACCGGCCCAGTGCGTGTCAGAACACGAACAGTTAAGAGTTCCGTAGTCGGGTTGAATAATTAAATATTTTATCCCAAGGATAAACTTACATTTGCAGCCAAAAGTCGTTTTGGTACGACATAAATACTGTGGGCGAACTTGTTAAGCTTTTACCGTGTGCATAACTTTACAAATGATCAATTTTCAATTTTTTTCTTATTTACATATGCTGTGAGAGTGCGTTTTGCCAAATTTAATGATTGGCTACTATAAAACATATACGTATATATAAAACATATATGTATGTCTCCGACTGCATAATACTTACTATGTTCCGTCGTCAAGTTGTTCTCATCTTTTTAGTCCGCCTTTTACGTAGTCGCGTTTTTTTTGTGAATTATTTTTTATTTACAGCTTTTTAGTATTTCTGTTAAACATTTTTGGTTTTATTAAACAATCTTTTATCCTAAATTACTTTTAAACTTATTATGCTGTGTAATATTTTTTTGTAATCGTAAAGTAGTATATTTTTGTAATCGCCGCTTTTAAAGACCTGTAGTGTACCCTACTCGATTGATTCGAAAGAACAATTTTTTCCAAAACACACAAATTGGCGCCTCAAATCCGCCATTGTTAATTTTTAATGATATCAATCTGTCCATATACATATATTTAATGATAACATACATATATACATACAGGTCAAACACACAACCCTCCTTTGGGCTTCGCCGCAGTCGGTTGATAAATAAAAGTTAACAATATTAAATTTCGCAATCGTTACCCGTATAACGTGAGAATCACATCAAAATTGCAAATAGTATTTGTAGACGGTGCGATACGGCGACGATCCAATTACTGTAAGCCGTCTAACCCTCTCCGATCACAGGCTTCAGTTCTATGGTCTTTATTAACTAAGCGACGTTTTATTTTATTAATCCTTTAACTATGTATCACATCACTTATATCATATATTAACCGTAATATTATATTTGTCATGGCCATAATGACACCACGTGCCCTAGGAACATACGTCTATGATTGAGTTGAGAAATATCTTGTCATCATTTCAGTTATAAATATTGAAAAATGTTTTATATTTATTTTATTTGGGAAACACAGTATTTTATAACATAAGTAGGCACATAACAAATAGAATATTACACAAACCAGCAAATTTTCCCCTAATTTAAACACACGTACACATAGAGTAGACAACAATAAATTTATTTAAGAAAAAAATACATCAAAGTGTAAAAAAAACATTAAAGGCTAACAATTTCTAAGTCTAAAGTTTTGTCCTAAGTTTAGATAAAAGTTGGTTTAAGGAAGGCATTTTGCTTTTTTATTACCATAAATATGTAATAATTTATCCAATTTGTATATTTCCACTACTAACAATTCAAATTTGAGCGTCATAATATGTATAAACAGCCTTATAAAAATCATAACATGTTTTTATGGATTTTTTTCTCATCCATTCCCATACTATAAACTGATAACGTGGGCAGGAAGGACACCACGTGCAAGTAGTTGCTAGGCGATTGCCGAAATGCAAAATATTTACTTACCGCTTAAGCACGTTGTAAAAAATAGCCTTGTATGAATTTAGTTTACTTATTAAATGAAGTAGGCATTTAACGCTACCACCCCTCCCGCAAAGCGAGCTGTGCGCTCGCGTCGCCCGCGTGAACTCATAACTTAAATAGACCAAACAGACTATAGGTAAGCGCGTCTGTAGGCAGTAGGCCAACTTATTATATGAATTTGTTTTTAATATTATTAAAATATAAAATACGGGAATTTATCCAGTAACATTTTCTTTTATTATAATACGTATAGTAATAACCGCGAAAACCTAAGAAAAAAATATAAAAAACTTCACTATAAGTATGTACTTTGGTTATTTGTGATTCAAAACAGAATGTCGAAAACTTTACTCGATTAAAAAAAATCGGAGAGGGAGGCTATATTCGATAATTTATTATTTCATAAGCATATTAACAAAGAGAAAAAGCGGCATAAATCCCACCTTGTCAAGGCCCAGCGACCAACTGAAGTCTGAACCTCACTCTGAAAGTCCTGAAGCAATGTGCGCAAGTCAAGCAATTATATATAATATTTAATTGTAAAAAGAATATTTGCAAAACATAACCACACACCACAGTAGTTCTATTCTATAATTACTTTTTTTTCAGATATGTTTTTGAAAGTAAAATATTTTATAAGCCTCCAAAAAATTATCGAATTAGCCTCCTCTTCTGTTTTTTGTTCGATCGAGTGAAGCTTACGAGGTTAAGTTTTAAACCACAAATAAGTCTATTACATATAATGAACTACTTATAATATATCTTTTTTTTGGTTGAAACAATCACTATTTGTATGTTTATTATTCAATGAAAATCCGTAAAATTTGAACTACCGGATTTCGGATACCGGATTATTCGGACTTAAAAGATACCTAAGTGTTAGTGTTATTTTGCATAGATAATAGATTGAAATGATGTTCTTTAGGGTTCCGTACATACCTATACGGCCTCGTCAGACTCATATTAGAAGGTCTGTCGGACCCTTTGCTACCTATAAAGAGTTAATAAACTTTATGGATTAGACTTTAGAGTATATTTTTATTTAATAATATTATATAAAAATGACATTAATCGCGTTTTGAAATCGTTAAAAAATAGAAAAATCATAAAACGATTGAATTATTTAAACACGATCTATATTTGAAAAAGCTTCCAACCACAGTCGCAGGCGCAAGACGATTGGCTGCCATTATTTAATTAATATTTGACAAAACTGGTTTTTAAAATGAAATTTAGAAATGAAAACATATCATAAAGACGGCGCCGAAACAAATTTAAATACATAATTTTAATTTATTTTATTGACTCGCCAAACCTACTTCAGGTTATCACGGCGGCGCGGCGCCTAGCGGGGGCGAGCAACTGTTCTTCTGAATGACTTTAATTGACAGGAAATGTCTGTTAGGGTTCCGCAGCCAAAAGATAAAAACCCTATAATTTCGATCAGCTAGTTACGATTTCTACCTGTCAACTCCTACTGCTAGCCGCGTTAAGGAACTTCGTTCCAAAAAGAAAGAAAGTGAATGGATGATTCGGGATGTAAATAATAATATCAAAATGATATGGAAAATAATTAATAGCGTAAAGTAAAGAACGTTTTATGATAAAATTTTTTTTTGGTAGTATTCTGGTGATCAAATTTTTAGTTTGTATCAATGTCAAAGAAAACATTAAATAAATAAAAAATATTATGGATGGGATGTAGTGTTCGTGGATTTAA